TGTCTACACCTCAACTAGACCGGAAGCTTGGACCCGCCATGTTGACAGACGCACAGACCTGGCACGGGGCTCTAAACGCCGCAGAGAGGGCGGATGTGAGCCAGCTGGCAAAGGTCTCGGCAGGTCAGCGCGCGAGAATAATGCGCGCGGATCTCTAGCAACTGTACGGTGCCAGGCGTGGTGACGCATGCGTGGACAGCACAACGGGATGACGGGAGGGTCCCTGGGGGCTCAGTAGCTGGCTGGCTAGTTTTGCCAAATCAGCAAGCTCTGATCTTAGTGAGATATCCTGTCTCAAAAAATAAATAAATAAAAATAAGGCAGACTCAGTCCCCATGGTTTTTAATCTTAGCAGTAGGGAGGCAGAGACCGGTGAATCTCTGCAAGTTCCAGACCAGACCAGCCAGGGATACCTAGTGAGACCCTATCAGAGAGAGAGAGAGAGAGAGAGAGAGAGAGAGAGAGAGAGAGAGAGAGAGAGAGAGAGAGAGAGAGAGAGAGAGAGAGAGAGAGGGAGAGAGAGAGAATACTGATATTTAGTAAGAAAGTAAGAACCTATCTTAAAGAAAAAGAGGACACTGATATCTAGTAAGAGCCTATCTGAGAGAAAGAGAGGGAGAGAGAAGACACTGACATTGACCTTGACCTCTGGCATGTGCACACACACACACACACATGCACAAACACTTGTCACACACGCATACACAAGCCTGAGTAGCAGGGCCACATCGTTACAGTTGTGATGAAAAGTACAGAATTTCCCTTCAAAAAAAAAAACCTAGTTTTGAAGTATAGTACAGAGAAAAGACAAAATGTATAGCCTTTGTGCTATTAATTTAGAAACCAGGGCCAACCCAAAAGACAAGGGATTAGGCCAATCCCTGGCTTCCTCTTGATGGAATCAAGACACGGAGGCATCGCTGTCCACAGAAGGGGGCTGCAGAAGGGGCTGCTAATGAGCACCTGGTGACCAAGATGCCAGAACACCCCTACCAGCTGACTGGTAGACTCTACACACACACACACACACACACACACACACACACACACACACATGCATGCAGACACACACACACGCACGTGCACACATGCATGCAGACACACATGCACACATGTGTGTACATGCACACACACTCACATGCACACACAGTGTGCACACACACGCGCACATGTGCTCATGCATGCACATACCACACATGCACGCAGATATGACACACGCGCGTGCACACATGCACACACACATACACGCACACACGCACACTATAAGTACAGCAGACAGGGGAAACCCAGTGATGGGGAGGGAAGGCATCTCAAATAAAGGCATGGAGAGATATCTGCCTCTGTCCCATGCAGAGAAGCATTAGGAAGTTGAGGCTTCCTGATTAACAGTCCCAAGGCCTGCACAGGGTGTCCGTCTTCCAGGCTTCATCCCGGATGTGTCTGTTACATCACCGATGTAGGCTTTGGAAAGTCTGGGAGGATGACACAAGAGGGAAAACCACTATGGCTGGGTGCAACAGATCCAGGCTACCTGGTCCTAGGTCACGCTGTAGCATCAGGTTTGGGCGGCATGCAACCAGGAGAATAATCACGGCACGAAACTTACTGCAAAAATGTCTAAGGTGCCATTTGGGACCATGAAGTCCCTGCTTGGGCCAGGGAAAGTTTTAGGCACAATGACCTCCCCCTAGCTAGACAGAAGTATTTCCAAAAGGTCACAGTCACCCCCTGGAGGCATTTCTACCCTGACAAGCAGGAGAGGCCATGTGGTGGATACCAGGATTTCCAAAGAGGTAGAGGAGCTGAGCGGCTTATTCCTAAGGGTGTGTGAGCCATGAAGAGACAGGTGCATCCGAGCAGCATAAGTGAGTATTCAGATGTGTCTGTGGGCTGGGACACCATCAGGAAAGAACGGAGAGCCACATCCCTTCACCTCTGCCTCTGTACGCTCAGTCATTTCAGCATGGAAACCCTCACCCAGGATGCAGCCTGAAACCTGCAGTGTCTCCTCCTCCACAGGAGCCCTTAGGCAGGGGCGGGGCACCTTCTACCGGCCCCAGTACCATGCTGCCTGGGAAGGCCCAGCGTGTGTTCTTAGCAGCATCTCTGTACATCTCCGGCCGGCTCTGAATGTACTATGAGCTCAGGGAGGTCAGATCTAGGGTTCTCCTCCAAGTGATGAGCAAGCAAACAGCGACGGTTAGCGCCAGGGCTGTGCCAGACGCATCCTCGGGGTTCTATGTTTTTTGATGGTTTCTGAGACAAGGTCTTACTGTGGCCGGCTCCGTATAGCCTTGATAGCCTTTTGCCTCAGCCTCCTCAGTGCTGGGATCAGAAGTGTGCTATCTTGCCACGCCGCCAAACCCCCCACACCCGTGAAGTTGGTACTAGAGTGGTAAATCAGTGGGCTCAGGTTCGTACAGACGGGCCTGAAGCCAGGATGACGACAAAGTCCGGCACTCCTGCTCCCGGCGCTGTGAACTAATGCTTATACGGATGTGCGTCCTGGAAGTCAAGGGGACATACAAACAAGACTCTGGAGCCCCTCTGCTCTCTTCTGGACCCTTGTCCACCCATCACGTTACATCTCGGATATCCTGACTGTCTCTACGTCCTCAGAGCAGCTCTGTGGAAGCACTAACCCTCTCTGGCTCATCCACAGGCTCGTGAAAACAGCGTGAGCCCAGGAGAGCCCCACCAGGTGCCTCCACGACTCATTCACACCAGTGGAGGCCAGTGGCTGCTTGGGTCCCCCAAGCTGTGGCCCCGTGCATCTGCTGATTCCCCTCCAAGGCTGCATTCACAGGCACACCGTCACCCTCAGCCTAACACCCACCCACCCACCAGCTACACCCTCTCTTGGAGACAGGCTTCATACCTTTCTGGAAGCTCAGTCTTCTCACTTCCGACCCCCCTGCCTCCACCCTCCCCATGCAGAGCTCCCAAGGTAGGATGCCACTCCACGTTTATGTGGTACTGGAGAGAGAACATGCATGCTTCACGCGTGCCGGGCAGGCAGTCGACCCACTGAGCCGCACGTCCAGCCCTAGAGGACTATTTTGACACTGGCTTCAGCCACTCACCTTCAGCCCTGCTGGTTGACGTCAGAGGGACTTTCTCTGTGGTACACACCATAGGACTATGCATTTTATAGGCACGAGCATTTAATCTTTCTTGACAACTACCATTTCGAAGGGAAGAAACCAGGGTTGCGGGGATTTTAAGCGGCTTGGCGAAGTTCACACAGAGCGTGTGTGTCCCGGCCAAGGTTCCTTCCAAGACTGGCATCCTCCGGGGACACTTATTCCTTTCAGGCCTCCTCCTTGGATTCACGGCATAGGTTCATGGCCAGCATGAGTTCCTGTGTCCTTCCCCCAGGCTTGTGTTGGGGACACACGGAACCTCAGCCAGAGCTGCGTTCTGTAAGCCATAGGAGGGGCTGCATCCTTCTCTGAGCATGATGTGAGCAAGGTGTGTGAGGGCTAAGGTTGGCGGCCCACACCTTCGGCTTGAGGAGAGCACGTGTGGAGAGCATGGGGCTTTGTTGATTGTTCTGCCTTGCTTTTGAGATTGTTGGAAGATTTTAGCTGATCTTTCTTTCTTCCCTTCTCCTTCTTTGTTTCCTCCCTTCCTTCTTTTCCTTCCTTCCTTCTTTCCTCCCTTCCTTTTCCTTCCCTCCTTCCTGCTTTTCCTCCCTTCCCACTTCCTTCTTTCCTTCCTTCCTTCTTTTCATTCCTTTCTTCCTTCTTTCCTCCCTTCTTTCCTCCCTTCTTTCTTCCCTCCTTCCTTCCTTCCTTCTTTCCCTCCTTCTTTCCTTCCTTCCTTCTTTCCTCCTTTCCTCTTTTCCTTCCTCTTTTAAAAGAGGAACCCATTGTTCAAAAACTCTCTAAGGCAACAAGCACATAGAAAGATAAATAGAGAAAAGGGGAGTGTCAAGGCCAGGCTGGTCCTGTTGCCCCTCACGTCGGAGACCTCCCCATTCTCTTCAGGCCTCGTTTTCTGGGGTTTGTCTTACCCTCCCCTCATGTCCCGGGGTACCCACGATGACCTCCACCGTCTCAGTTGCTTTCAAGTCTCAAGGCTTATGCGGGCCACCAGCCCCAGGTGAGGTCCCCTGCGGTAGCTTGGGGGTCGAGCTGCCTTACGGACCCCATAAGGTCAGAGAGAAGCAAGGGCATGACTTCCTGTCTGCTGTAGAGAGCTAAGCAGACATGTGGGGGGGGGGAGTCTATGCATTGCTGGTGGCCTCGGTCTAAAGCCGGAGATAACAGCGACTCAGGGTGAAGGAGATGAAAACACGGCCGTGGCCTCCATCCTGTTGACACTGCCTTGGGTAGCTAATCAGGCCGTTGGTTCCTGCTGCTGGCAAGGGCATGGTTCTTTTTCCCACCGTTCCGTGGGGCTCAGCTGTACTTTCCCATCTCCTCACGGTGACATTCCATTTCGGTGACCCGAGTCACAGTTCCATCTTCTAAGGATGGGGAGGGGGCTCATCTGTGTCTTAACTCTGAGAAGTTTTTCCGGAATGGGTTCTTGTCAGTCAGAAGGGAGGAGGTGTAGGACAAACCCAAAGGTCAGAGGTCAGTGCCAAGGGGTCATGCTGCCAAGATCCCAGGATCCTTGCTTTTGTCAGAATGGGAGTTGTTTTTTTGGGGGGGGAATAAATTGGCAAACTGAGTCCCTACCTTGTAGCAGACTCCTGGTTCCCCCCATGTGACCCCTGTTCTAAGGAGAAAGGGAAGAGTCTCACTCAATCTATCTGTTTCGTTGTTCTTGACCAACAAAACAAACAAACAAAACACTGCTTTGGAGATTGTAGTGATGGAGGTTGTGTTGCCCAGTGGCCAAGAGCGTGAATTCTCACCAAAGTGAGCCTTGACTATGACTGAGTGGGCAGTGCAAAAGAGGGTGGGATTGCAGTCAGTTCTGTGAGAGAACTAAGTAGGTTTCCCTGAAGCCTGCTAACTGCTCCCCCGACTCTGCCTCTGGCTGTCTTGCAGGAGCTATGCCGCCAGCGAATGTCTGCCCGGCCACAGGATCGCCCCGAGGGACCACACACATCACGCATCAACAGTGTGTCTTCCCAGTTCAGCGACGGGCCAATGCCCAGCCCTTCGGCCCGGAGCAGCACTTCCTCCTGGTCTGAGGAGCCCGTCCAGTCTAACATGGACATCTCTACTGGCCACATGATCCTGGTAAGTCTTGCATCCTCTCTAACATGAATTCTGTGGAGGGGTGACAGGCAGCAGGCAGGGCGAGTGTGTTCTACCTGTGTCCCTCTGTCAATCGCTTCCTGACCTTGGAGCTTTGCTGTTACCCGCTCTGTGAGTCGTGGATAGAAAGGTGGGTTCGTCACCGAACTCTTTCGGTCCTGTTTGGAGCACTCATGGGCACATGCAGGCATGCTCCCTTGGACTTGGGTTCTGGGAATACACGCCTCTAAGTGCTACCTGTGTGCGCCACTCTGCTGGATTTTGACTAGTAGTAAGGAGTGGTCAGTTACCTCCTTCACCCTGTTTCCAGCCCAAAACCTGCTGTCTAAAAAAAAAAAAATCAAAACGCAAAACTGAAGCTGAGGAGGCATGAGGAGGTGTGAGGCATCTACAGTCTGTCACCAGAGCTTTTTGAGGCCCGTTTGCTAACACACATGGCTTCTCTCCAGGGCTATGACTTTCCCTGGCACATTTTTTTTGAGGGGGGAGTGGCCAAGGATAGAGTGGCTGTGTTGCCACATGGTATATTATTAATGTCCAGTTTCCTTAGCGGAGACATCCAAAACTCAGTTTTCCAGCTCTCCCTTGGCCTTCTTAGAAGGAGGCACCTTCCAGTTGTGGGAATGTTAAACAAAACCAGACATCGAGCCATCCGCGTTATTTTTCTCCTGGGGTCTGGGGCCTCTGCCAGCCTGAGGCACAGTCCAGTTCCCTGCTCCGGAAGCAGCTGCTGCGATCACAGATCAGGGAAATACTGAACCTGTACATTGTCCTTATACATTTAACCTGGGGACCTTCCTTTGCTGGACTTATCCAGCCGCAATGTGCTTTGGTGGCCACGGTAAGCTGGAAAACTGTTTACTACCGAGAAGTCTCCTGGCAGTCGTGTTGACCGAGAAGGTTCTGTGACTACCCAAGAAAGTGGTTCGGGGGTCTTGCTAGCCCAGACACGAGTGGACATACAGGGAGGCCGAGGTGTGCAAACAGTCTGCTTCCCAGATGACACATGGCCACAGGAGGGCTTCCCCTCTCCGTGCTGTCCGTGACTTGTCCTTGCCTGCTCGTTTCTGTTTCTTCTTGAAAGGGAGGACCCCAAGATGCTGTTTTGGGGGCCCTTAGAGGCCGTGAGGAAAGAACCTCTCTCACCAGGGGCGGTCAGCTTATCATTCACTTAGCAAATGCGCCACACACCTGTTTTGTTCTGGATCAATAGATTAATTGCACATATGCGTGGTGCTCGGTGCCTGCAATCTTTTACGGTGACAGAGGTCCTCCAAATGGACAGCCGTGACTGAGCTTAGATCTGACTCCTCAAGGGCTGTGACACTGGTCCCTTTTAGAGGAGGAGCCGCGAAGTCCCGAGAGACACTGAGATCCGGAGCTGGCGTGAACGAGTCCGTCAGTACACATGCTTCTCGGTAGTGCCTCGTTTTAGCCCGTGGCATCTGGGCATCCATTTCATGACTTCGGGTCACAATTTGGTAAGACCCCCGTGTCTGCACGTCGAATGATATACATTTTATTTTCAAGAGAAACTGTGTTTGGACATGAGTGGCAGTTCTGAGTACAGCAGGAGGGACTCAACCTCCAAGCAGCCAAGACCTCGCAGTCCTAAAGCAAAGTAGCCCAGGCAGAGCTCAGCGGGTGCCGCCGGAGCCCACCGCGGGCGTTTCCCTGAACGTAGCCATGGCTTCACCCACCTACCACAGTAGATCTGTGTGAGTCAGTCCCATTCACCCAGTCTTCACACTCCATTGGCTCAGACTGTAAGCCCCAAGGGACTTCTTATAAGCCAGGCGCTTCCAGGAATCATTGCTTCCATGGCAGGAGATGCTACTCACCACCTTCTCCCAGGACGCAGGGTGACCCAGTTACTGCATCTGTGAAGGGCTGGGCCGTTCCTTGGACCTCTGTTTCCTCTGCACCCTGTAGTCCCGATTCCCTTCTCGGGTGGGGTTCTGTCATGTAGCGCCTTGCCTCACAATTTCTCGGGTACGGGACCCGAGGACCCCAGAGCCCTAGGCTCTTTCTTCGGATCTCACCCACTTATTGGCACAGGCTGTGGGATTCCTCTTAAGCTCTAGCAGAATGGGACTGGCCCAGGGTGGAGGCCAAGATAGCACACGTTTCCAGCAAACCAGGGTCGAGTCCATGCAGCAGTGCCCACGCCACGCCACCCCTCTCTGCACAGGCTGTGCAAGCCAGGCATGTCCGTCCTCTGCAACTGACCTTGGCTCGTTAAAGCTATGGGGAGGGTAACTGCGGTGGCCAGTCACCCCCGCCCCTCAGTGGGAAAGTGTGTGCTTGCTAATTGGCCAGCTGGCAAGACAAACGTGCTAAACTACCATGGCAAGGGTGAGTGGGAGCTGGTGGTTTTCTTGCCCCGCCAGGCACCGCCAACCCTCAGCCCCAAATAAACACACACTGTTGCGCTACATTGATCATTAAATCGTTGGCTGATGGCTAGGGCCTCTTATTGGCTAGCTCTGTCCTCATTTTTTATCCATTTCTATTCATCTACGCATTTCCCACGAGGTCTTGGCTTACCAGAGAATGCCCCGGACTTGTTACTCCTTTGGCCGCCTCATGGCGTCTCTTTCTTTGGCACCTCTCTCTCTGTCTACCTTTCCCAGAATCCTCCTCGTCTCATAGCCCCACCTATCTTCCTGCCTCTACTGGCCAAACAGTGTTTTTATTCATCGACCAATAAAAGAAACATGACATTCCCCCATCAAGTGGGCCATCGGGTAAACCCAGAACTCTGGGTATTATTCACTGGTGACTTGGGTACAATGGAGCATGAGAGCAAAATATCATGTCTAAAGGTTGAGAGACGCTGCTTCCAGAGGTCCTGGGTTCAATTCCCAGCACCCACATGGCAGCCCACAACCGTCTGTAAACTCCAGTTCTGGCAATCTGACGCCCTCTTCTGGGCTCCCTGGGCACTGCATACACGTGGCACATAGTCATACATACAGGAAACACACATGAAAATAAATAAATAATTTTTTAAAGACCAAAGTGGGTAGGGAGAGAACAAAAAATCTTCAACTCCAGTTTAGCAATGGGTGTACCCCATAAAGCCATGCTGACCCAAAACTGACCACCAGAAGACATCACTGAGTATTTCCTCTGTGATGCTGGGGTACTCGGGGGTGATCCAGCAAGCATGACCACTGTGGGAAGGGCCTCAGATCTGATCCCTGTTCCCCATGCCTAATCCCACGTAGGATGGCCTCAGATGCTCCATGCCCTGTAACTTTGTGTTAGACTATAGAAAGAAGGCCCCTTGGAATCACTGTCCCTTTGAAGGTCAAGGGCTTGGGTATCAGATAGACTCACGAGGAAGGAGAAAGTTTCCCCTAGATATCAGACTGAGACATTACTGGGCTGTGTTGCCTCCGGAGGACCAGCCATAGTGACAGTCACTAGTCAAGCATCCCCAGTCACAGGGAGGGGCTCCTGTTACCCCTGCCTCTGAAGGTACAACAGGGGTCAAAGGAAACTCAGAAAGGCTGGCGCTTAGGTATAGGGCCCTCAGGACACAGAGAGCTGCACTGGGCACATTGTCATGACTCTCCTGGGTGCAGAGAGCACAGGGACCTGACTAGGGAAGGGACATGGATTCCGGTACTCCACAGAAGCCTGACTCACCTGCTGTCCGCTGGTTCTGAATCTAATGTCACAGCCACCAACTCCTGTCTTATGATCTGTATGACGGGCTAGACAGCAGCACCCTGCCCCCAGCCCCTGCGAGTGCAAAACGGGACAGGTCCATGAGACATGCCCATCATGTCACCACCCAGCCATGCCCCGGACACACCACCTACCTGAGGTCACAGTAAAGCCACAACGGGTGCACCCATGTAAGGCACCCAAGGCACTCCGTGTTTGCTCCTGTCTCTGTTTTCTTCGAAGGTGCCCTCTGAAATATTCTACTTTGGAACAACATGTTAACTGCACGTATGCATGGGGTTTAACAACACTATTTCAACACACGCACACGGCCCACGTTGATCAAATCCATCCTCCCCTTATCCACCCTCCTCCAACCTCTGGTCACTGCTGTCTACATTCCGAGTGAGGGGGCACCAGCCTCTGCTCACGGATAGAGAAGGCATGGCGTTGATACCCGATGGGTCCCCAGACGTTGTGAAAGGGTGGAACAGGAAGGCATATAGAGTGAAACAAGCCAGACACAGAAAGGCAGACCCTGCGTGTGCATTCTCTCTCTCAGGCAGAGGGAAGTGGCTTTTAAAAATCCGAAGTTTCTTGGGGCTGGTGAGATGGCTGAGTGGGTAAAGGCACCCGACCATCAAGTATGACAACCCGAGTCCAATCCCTGTGACCCACACAGAAGGTGAGACCAACTTCTGCAGTCCGTCACCCTCTGACCTCCACAGGGGCACCGAGGCGTACATACACCCCCACATGCAATGCACACTAAATAAGTTTTAAAAAAGTAATAAGGTTTACAAGTTTCTGCTAGGCATGGTGGTGCATACCTTTAATCCTAGCACCCAAGAGGCAGAGGCAGGAGGAGCTCTGAATTTTAGGCATCCTGGTCTACATAGAGAGTTCCAGGGCTACACAATGATACCCTGTCTAAAATAAATAAATATGTATATATTTTAGATTTAGATTTTTTTTAAACAAGTGTTTCAGAAGTAGAACTACCATAGAGTAGAGCTGCATCAGTCCCGGGAATATGCCCAAGGGAATCTGCATCAGCATGCCAACAAGCTTGCACGCCCATGTTTATTTCTACACTGTTCAGAACAGTCAAGCTGCAGAGAGAGCTTGAACGCACACCCTCAGGTGAATGGTTAAAAAAAATGGGATACAAACGCAGGGTATTTGTTCACTGTAAAGAAGAATGGATCCGTGCTATCCATAGGAACTGGAGGCCATCCTGAAACACGTCACACTCGTTTCTCGAGTGCGGAACCTAGGTGTTTGAAGGGATGTAAGCACACGTGTGG